TAGTTGGACAGGCTGGATCAATGGGCCAAGGCCAGTTGTACGAGGTTCAACAAGGCCAAGTGCCAGGTCTTGCACTTGGGCCACAACAACCCTGTGCAACGCTACAGGCTTGGGGATGAGTGGCTGGAAAGCTGACTGGCAAAAAAGGACCTGGGGGTACTGATTGACAAGCAGCTGAATATGAGTCAGTGGTGTGCTCAGGCGGCCAAAAAAGCCAATGGCATCCTGGCTTGTATTAGGAATAGTGTGGCCAGCAGGAGTAGGGAAGTGATCGTGCCCCTCTACTTGGCATTGTTGATGCCACACCTTGAGTATCGTGTTCAGTTTTGGGCACCTCAATACAAGAAAGGCATTGAGGTGCTGGAGAGAGCGCAGAGAACGGCAACAAAGATGGTGAAAGGCCTAGAGAATAAGTCTTATGAAGAGCAGCTGGGAGAACTGGGGCTATTTAGTCTTAAGAAAAGGAGGCTAAGGGGAGACCTTATTGCTCTCTACTACTACCTGATCTCTTCTGGTGCTGGTCTCTTCTCACAGGTAATTAATGATAGAACAAGAGGGAACTGACTCAAGCTGCACCAGGGTAGGTATAGGCTTGATATTAGGAAAAAATTTTTTCACTGAAAGGGTTGTCAGGCATTGGAATCGGCTGCCCAGGGAGGTGTTTGAGTCACCATCCCTTAATGTGTTTAAAGGTCATTTAGATGTGGTGCTTGGAAATATGGTTTAGGGGTGTACTTGGTAGAGTAGGGTTGAGGGTTGGACTTGATGATCTCAAAGGCCTTTTCCAACCTGAATGATCCTACGATTCTATTAAGAGAAATGTCTAGTTAATAATTTTCTGTCTTTGTTTTCTGATTTAGTCAATGGTGTTGACTATGTCGTTAGAAGACAGTAGTACCATTTTCCAAATAATTTGGCAAAATTACATAAGATGACATTTAGAGTACATCCATTCCTTACTTTGTTTTCAAAGATTAAAATAGGCACTTGCCTCTAGAGAATATTAATATTTCATTGAATAAATTCCATATTAATATGACATAATATTTCAGTTTGCTACACTGCTCTCCAAACCACTGCAAAATTTTATCCTCTTCATTAAATTCTATTGAAAGTATCTTTGCACGAATCCCTATAACGTGACATTTTATTGTCCTATAATAAAATCTATTAAGTCTCACACTCATTTCCAGTTGATTATTCATGTAATCTCAAACATGATCTCAATAATGTTTACAAAAGTTCAGTGCCTACCAGCAACAATGACTTGTGCCTGATCCATCAAAATTCTCCTATGCTCACTACAGCTTTTAAAATTAGATTTGAAGTATACAAGATCTAGGTCCTCACATTCCTGACACTCTGGAACGTAGGCTCAGAAGCTCTAAAAGGTTTTCTGAGACTCCAGATGAACACTGCAGTTAGAAACTTTGCTCCTACACAACGAACGAACACCACTAAAGTTACTGTGAAAGACACATAACATTCAAGGGCTGGTGAAATGCAGAAATACAATTTGTGTGAACTGGAACTACCACGGAAGAAATTGTTCCATGCCACACATATTAGGTGCTTTTCTTAGATCTTATCTCGCCTTTAATTCAGCAACATGTATAAACATAACAAACAAAAAACCCAAACCAAAACTGCAATTATTGTCAAAGACTGAATATTTTTTTTTTTACTGTGTTTCAAAACACGCGGTTCAGGTGAATAGCTCTAGAAAACTAACATAAACTTGAACTCACTGAAACCAAGACCATAACAGTAGAAGTGGAATTTTGCAAGAACTAATTTTAAAGACCTAGAGAACAAGACCATGAATAAAAGAAAAGACATCAGAATTTATGTCAAGACTAAATCACTATCAGTTTGTAGTCGTTTAATGATTTCTTGTCTGTTTCCTCAGGTTATATACAGTTCCTTAGATCCTGCTGCCAATGCCTTGGTCAGCATTTCTCTAAGGAGTTTACAAATGTTCAAAGCCTGGGGAAGTAAGAAAAAAGCAGAAAGCAGAAGTATCCAATACTGAAACTCACACTAGTAACTAGAAAATTGTGGAAAATTACAGACCTTCGTTAACAGTAGTGCTTGATGGTTTTGTAAGTATTTAGTCTCAGATTTGAGGAAGGAAGTAGAGTGAAAAATAATTTAATTATTCTGACCTGTGAAGTTTCTAACAGGACATGACATTTCTGCTTCTTTTTTTTTTCTTCTCTCTTTCTTTTTAACGACACTGAGTGCTTTAAAAGTTTAATCCTCTTCAGACAAAGTTTGACACTGTTTCTGCATTTAGGTATAAAGAGATTGAGTTGGGAATACTGCATCCCTGCTAATTTAGCAATAGTCAAGAAAGATCTACAGAGGACTTTCAAAGTCACTAAGTGTAAAAAACATTCAAATATCCTGCTTTTAAGGACAAATCAAAGGCTTATTTCAGCACTGCCAGAGTAAGAATTACTACTTGCAGACTGTATATGATAAACAAAGGAACCAATCTATTGTGCCTGCCCTTTTGGCAAAACAGGAATTAAGAGTGTTCCAAGCCCTTAAAGTCTAACATAATAAAAGAATTTGGCGGTCTTCAGCCATGGGGTACACAGAATGCCACCATTTCACAATAATACCTTCTGAAAGCTGCAAACACCTCACTGGAACAACTGTGCCGAGAACATACTTTGGTGCCAAAACTAGTTGAGCCACTGCTACCCTACTGCTAGTACTACTATTCTTTATAATAATAACAACATCTTTATGAGAGAAGATTCTTCTTTTGGCACAACGGTCTCTGAGATTACAATGCTGACAACATACACTAACAGTCAGGAACAGTACCAGCAACCAACTATAAAAGCCACCACGCATGCAACCACTCTAAACAAGAAGCGTCTTGAAAAGCCATTTTCTCTCCCATTAAATTATACTAACATGGATTAAAAAAGATGAGATCTCACACTTCACAATACTGTCTCAGTGGAAGTTTTCAGAGAGTTCTGTTGGGACACATTTATTATTTAGATTACACAGCTTCCCAGCACTATTACTCAACATAACTATGACAGAAAAATCTTTCATACAAATGTCAGACTTATAAGCAAAACAGCTTTTCAGGCACCACAACTGTTGTTTGCGGGACTCATTTAAATATACTAGCCAGTATAAGCTATGGTTCTCTGCTTGGACACTTCATCATTTGGGTGGTAAGAGTGCTTTACTAGCATAGACTTCACTGTTCTCTACCTGCAGCATGCTCCTATTATGTACCCAGACCACAATAATAAAATTTAATTTGGTGAACACTGCCTCCTCCTAAGCCCCGTAAACGGTGAATAAACCACACAAGAGAAAAAACAGTTTCCCCAATTTAACCACAACTTCAGTAAAAGTTGTTTCCAATTGATTCAATTTTTATCAGAACTATATTTCTTCACACTGACAAATGCAGATATGACAGCAGAAGTTTGCAGTCTAGACCCACACAAAGTGTTATTCATACACACAGCTGATACCCTTCTGAAGCAAGAGATCCATCCTTTCCAAGCTGCATAGATACTTGCCTCCTCTAGCAAGAGTCAGATGTGCCAAGCTTCACCATTCAGAAAAAAATATTGTGTTGGCAAAAGAACTCCTTTATCAATATACAATTCACTTCCATTTACAGAATTTGCAGACACAAATATATTTATACCCTTCAATTTGATGATTATATTTGTTATTGTGCCTTTGCATTTTGTTTATGTTTGGCATTTTTAACTCAAATTCACTTTTTTCATCAATGTCATTGGCTATTAACACACCGCTGAGTTCATGGCTTACAAATTTCACAGCTTCCCTCAAAGATGAGTTCAACCCTCATTTCTCAGGAAACTTTTGTGATTTTAACTATTCCAATACAGTAAAACAGTACACCTACCACTGCAGCTGAACCAGGAAACAGTGACTTTTTAAAACTGGAAAAAAAAATATCCCCAAACCACTGCAGAGGTACTTTATACCAACCTAATGGTAAAACTTCACCCAGTATAAGGCTTATAAAGCAGTGGATTCCTTCACAGATGTATGAAAATGAGACCCATAAGCAAGAACTGCATCAGTGTAAACCTAAACCCAGCAAAGCTGGGAACTAGGACAAACCTGCCACACACAAGTATTCGTATCCTGAAACTAACATCTGAGCAACATTTACTCTAAACTGGCCCTTGCAAAGCTACTAAACTATATGCACTCAGCTGCCTCTAGAGAGGAGTCATTAGCTCAGAACAGTGCCACGTACACACACGGGCCCTAAAAGCATTTGCCCCATGTACACCCGTTGGTACACCTGAGGTGGCACCGCAGGAAGTCAAGCTGGACGTTTCCTCAACTTCAGAAGTGTTGGAATTTCCACCCCCAGCTACCAGTCAGAGATAATGATGAATTTACTGTCATTAATTAGATAGAAAGCGCTTGAGAAACACTAACAAATAAGGCTGCTTGATATAAATGCTTGCACTAGCACAACCAATTTAGCAAGTGATCTCCTTCCTAAGGCAACTTGATGGCACTAGTACTAACACCCTTGGTACACTCAGCTGCAGCTATATATAGATGTGCTACATTGTATAACCTTATTCCCTTTTCTCCATTGGATTAGATAGGTCAGGATCATCAAACCCATGCCAGGAAAATTTACCACTTTAAATCAAAGAATTTCTACAAGCAGATATAGATTTAAGCACCTACTGCTCATACTTCACCATGTAGACGGCTTGATAGTCTGTCATGGTGCAAAGAACTCAAGAGACAAGAAAATTTTCCTCAAAATCTTTGAACTTTGACTGTTGGAAAAACCCCAAAACACCTCATAGTTGCCTATTTTAGCCAATTTCAGACCAAATTTTCCCTCATTTAGAGGACCCAAGAAATCTGTCAAGTATTTTAACTGTCTCATCTTCCAATTCACATCCAAAGTAGCTATGCTACTATGTTTCCCTGATGAGCCATTTCTCATCAGAATTCCACATCTTGTCCTTACTTAATACATGCAGGTTTGAAAAAACCAACCGTGTCTTGTCGTTACCAGTAATTTGCCAGATACGTGCTCTAGGCGCAAAGCTTCTTTCCAAAATTCTGCTACCTACACCAGTATGGTTTTACAGGGTTACTAGTCTATCCTGGTATTGAATTTCAGTTGCAATATTCAGAAAAGTGCTCGTAACCAAGGAAGGGCAATATCTTAATGTATATATTTATTTCTATGCTGACAAACAAACTCATTCACTTCTAACTCTCAGCATCCAGACAGAGTTTGAATTCAGAAGACGACAAGTTTCTTGCTATGTATAAAATACAAGACTTCTCCATAACACAAAAAGAGAGGCAGGAAGTTGTTTGTAACACACATGATGTTTGTAAAGTATTATTAACTAAGATGCTGCAAGAATTGCAAAAGCTACAAAAAAATGAAGATCCAGCAAAGGTGCACAGACAGCTGACAATATCAAAGCTTGACAGAACATGAGGGAACAGCATAATAACTTCAGCATGAAGCCCAGGAAGCTAAAGATAAGCAAACAGAAAAACAATTTAACATGAGACAGATGCCTCAGGCAAAAAAAACCCCACAAAACCCAAAAAACACCACCAAACAAAAAAAAAAAAAAAAAATCAAACCAAACCCAATTTAAAATAACAGAAAACTGTAAGGTTGCATTGAACGGAAAATCAATGCAAGCAGCAAAAAAAAATAAAAAAAATAATTATGTTTTAGTTATCTTTTTCTCTTTTATGTTCCAAGGCGATAATCCGAAGTCCAATTAAGTCAAAGGTCTTTCAAAGCATTTTACAGCAATGATATCGGGTGCTAATTAAGACACATTTTAAAGAGGCTGCTTCATCTCACACTGTCACAAGAATGTGGAACAGATTAATTGATCAGAAAAGGTTTGGATTTGAGGAGACACTGGAATTTTAAGTACAGAACAATGTTACAGAATTCAAATATGTAAGAACACACGATTTCATTAGAAGAGAACCAAGGCTGTCTGATTTCTCTTGTTTATGACTTTTGGTCCTTCCCTGGCCTGTTTGTGGCAGCCATAATGAAAACCTGCTGACGATTCTCCAGACCATCCATCTCTGTGAGTAACTGGTTAACTACTCGGACACTGGCTCCTGACTTCAGAAGGAGAAATTTGTCAACAAAATTGAGGAAACAGTGGGAATGTGAATATTTCAAAGTAAAAGAAACAAAAGACCAACTAGCTCCCTGCCCTGAAATACTACTCAAAGTTTCTTTTTCATGCTTACAATGTAGCTGCATTCTAGATTTCTACTATGATATTCTTAGCAAGTTTCCACCCAAAATTCATGCTACCTATACACCTGTCACACATTGTAACATGTGGTAAACCTTTTCTTTCCCATTAAAAATTAAGGACTTGCTTATAGAAGTACATATAGATATTCATACTAATCATCTCATCATTCTCACATCCACCTCAACAAGAACACCCAAAACTCCTCAATATATAGGTTTGGAAAAAAAAAAAAAATCCACATATTTAAACCTCTGGAACAACAGTTCCAGCAGGTGAGCTACTCAGTTAAATGTGAACTCCATAGTAGTGACATTCTATAACCAAACTCAATAGCTTAATCTCAATTTCATTCTAGAGTTGAGGAGACAGAGAGAAAGCACAGGGGCTGGAGAACAGAAGCTCAATTACATAGTAAAACTGCTTGAGGATTTTGAAGGATGTTGTTCTAAGTGTTCCTGTTTTATTTTAAACATACAAAAATATAAATCCACTTATGGATAATTAGATTACGTAGGGAAAATGCACATAGGTCTCAAAAAGCCTACGGAAATGCCAAACACACCGAGCTTCAATTATGAATCCCAAGGATCATCACCAGTATCACAGCCCGAGTAATAAAGTCACGGGTCTCCTGCCCAGACAGTACCTCTGCACGGTTAAAGGAGGCTGTGAAGAGCAAGGGTGGGCCACTAGACACCAAGTTGCTGCCTGCTGCTGCCGCCACAGAAGCGAAATATAGTGAGGTCAAAGCACACTTCTTCCCCCTCCTTGGTTACCATCCATGCCTACTGTGGTGCCTAGTACTGGACACCTTTGTTGATGGCTCTGCGGGAACCACCACCTCAGGACATTCAAGAAGTCAAATCTGAACTTTTCAGCTTGCCTATCTTTCACAGGAAATGAAGTATGCAAATTCAGAAGATAAGGTGCGATTCAGAAACAGTTCAAACTTTCTCTCTTATGAACTGGAACTACCACAGTCCTTCTGTTAAAGTCAATAATGGCAATATCTGAACAGTAGTGTACTCAAATTGTCTGTTGAAAAAAAAAAAAAAGCATCTTTTCGTTCAGCCATCAAGATACTCTGCATAAAAAAAAAAAAAAGAGCAGCTTTCCTTCCAACACACTAACAGTTTGCACTAACACACACCCACAAAAGCAGAAATTAATCCCAGATGTAGGTATAAACACATACTTCATGCAAGCATTACAGTTGCATACAGGTGTCAGGATTTGGCCATAAGTTAAACATTATATTAAACTGCATTCCACCTTTTCCAATGGCTCTACACAGCCAAGTTGGCAGATATACACACATTCTCTGGATACCTTTTTCTATATATGCATACTTAAAAAAAAAAAGTATTAAGCTTTATAAAATTTGACCAACAGATTTTCCCTCAAATAAGAGAATGCTTATCGGACTGGTTTTCTTGGGATACACTGAACATAGTACCCCTCCAGGTGTTTCTGTTGCTAGCACAATCCCACAAAAGCTGCAACTGAGATTTATTTATAGAGATATATTAAGACAGACTCACTTCACGGTCAGATCTCCGCGGGCACAAAGCATCAACTTCATCAAAAAATATAACGCAAGGGGCTGAATTCCTGGCACGCTGGAATACCTGACGTACAGCACGTTCACTTTCACCAACATACTAAAACAAATGACAAATCACAAGGGCACAATGTAAGACATGAGGATTTTGTTTGGAAAAAAAAATAATCACAGTTTTTAAATGCTGTTGGGGGTGCTTTGCAAGGGAGAAGTGCAACCTGCCAACCAGTTTACTTCTAGTAACGGTCTGTTACCTCTATTTCCTTACTGATCAAGATTTACATGGGAACTACTTGTCACTAGCTCACTTTTGACAGTTTGCAGTACATTTAGAGTTTAAAGGAACTCCTACTTTCTGGGTAATAAATCTAACTTGCCATCTTTCTGCTAATAAGAATTAACAAACGCAATCTTCACTAAGGACCTTGTTGTTCTTTAGCTGTTCAGAAACAAACCCAGTGGGCAATTTGAACACAATGAACACAATGAAATTATGAAGCTAAAATGACTGGCAAAGCACATTTCTGAACTTTAAGCAAAATAAAATTTTCAGCCTTGATGAAAGCTGCTCATTTGCAGTTACTGGTCACCAATTATACTCACTGCAGATTTGAATTTTTGTTTGTTCTTTTTCCTGATCTACATAAAAGCAATGACGCATGTAGTTGGTCATTTAGAAATCCTGCTTCAGTCAAGAAGGCTCCCTCTGCCCAGTAATTTAAATCAAGATATGTACTTAAGATTCTCAGAGAGCTTTTTGCTTTTCACACAAACAACTTCACTGTTAAAAACTTTAAGCAGAGGTTAAACGAGGAAACTTTGGTTGCACCATTATCTGTTGTGTAATTATCAGGAATTTTGCTTGCCCCATGTTTTGGAAAACAGTTCCATAAATAACAAAAGCACAATGATTAGTGCATACCATATTTAGCAGTTCAGGACCTTTCACAGATATGAAGTTCAGTCCAGACTCATTCGCCACAGCCTACCAAAAAAGAAAAGACCGATGTCTACGTAAAACACACATTTTTCATCTTTGGTTCTGTCCATGGAACAATAAACAAATTTAAGGGAAGGCACACAGTTACCAACTGCTTGTAAGATATAGAAAACAGTATGAAGTATAATTATATGCAATTAAAAGTGGGAGGGTGGGGGATGGAGAATTTAGCAAGGTGTTCCCTCTATTTAATGAGGCAGTGTTCCAGATTCACACCCCACTCCCCTCCCCTATATTAGCTGAAGAATTCTCAATTATTAGTGGGAGTTAAAGAGATATTCAACTATGTAAGAGCATTTGAAGACAAAGATGAGTGACAACCTGGAAACTTGCATGATTATCTGCATTTACATGGGGAGTCCATAAGAACTAAAATGCTTAAGGAGAAGGAAAACTAAAGTATTTTCATTAAGGTAAATACAATAAATAAAAAATACATAAATATAATACAGTGCAGACTGCTTCCAAACATATAATTTAGTCACAGTGAAATATTCCATAGAAGTGGTTATCTAATAGACTTTCTTCTCATCTTTGATACTTCATTCTTAACCAACTTAATTCCTTCAAGTTTTGTAGTAATTCCCTCTCAATTCAAGCAAAATTGTAACTTTATGACAAGAAAATCAAATAACTTTAGCACAGAGGCCCAAATTAAATTTTCTGACAAGAAGTGGTGCAAAATACCAACTTCCAGCAGTATCATCCAGACTCGGTCACTCCTACAAAAACATCCACTTCAAGAAGATTCACCAGTATTTCTAAACACGTTTAGCAAATGTATTACCTTAGCTAGCAGGGTTTTGCCACACCCAGGAGGCCCTGCAAGCAGGACGCCAGCTGGAGTAGTCAGGCCTAGGGCTTTAAACTGCTCTGGGTTTCGCACAGGTGCCTATAAAAGAAATTATTGTGGTTATCTGTGTCAAAAAGCTAACATGAACCTTTAATTTTAGTAGCAGTTGGATGAAAAATCATTCATAAGCGAGTTCTTCATACCAACTCTTTACAGGCTAAAAGAATAAACAGTCGATCAGCATCTTATCATCTTGGACTAACAGGTACCCCAAAATGGGAGAAGTATTATTCAGAGGCAAAGATTTTATTTACCTAAGTTCTCACATTAAGGTGTTAGCCTCAAGTGTCCCCCTGGCTGGCAGTGAGACTGCTAACCTTCCAGCTAAGCAGTCTCCAATTCTTCGTGTGGTAGTTACGTAACTCAGGTTATCGGTACGAAACTTTCAGAATACTTAAGATTCGGCAATAACGAACATAGCGATAACCGAAAGCGTGAATACAGTAAGTGAAATGTTAAATACGTGCACCAGACTTGTAACAAATTTGAAAGCAAGTTATAGAAGTCCGACTATCTTAAAATGAGGTGTTGCAAAAGTTCTAGTTCATAGCATGTTAGAACTCACAGGCAGCACAGTATACCTTAAATAAATACTAAAAAACGAACAAACAGAGTTTTATTTCCTGCCTAGGGGGAAGTGCAAAAAAAAAATAATCTTTGAAAGTAAGGTTAAAACATACCAATATTGCCATGGTCAGCTCCTCCCGAACATCCTCCAGGGCTCCGATATCTGCCCACGTTACATCAGGAATTGTGACAAAGCCTTCTCTCTTGGCAGAGGGTTGCACTGATGACAGTGCAACAATAAAATCATTCATCTCAATGCACAGCTTCTGCAGCTGCTCCTCAGGCAAGGGGTCTTGCTTCTTCAGCAAATCCAAAAGTCTCTGCAAATCATCCTTCAGGTACACGGAAGGGAGAGAAAAAGATTATGCACTGGATTAGATTTTAAGAACCATTTTTCAAGGGCTTTTTCAAAGCAATACTTTCTTCAACTGTAATATTAATTACCGTAAACCAAACTATTATGTACAATACACATAAAATACATAAAATGACATTAAAAATTAAAATTAATGACAAAGATGTTCCAGGAAAGCACTATGTATATTTAACACTTACAAAAGCACTGAGCTGACAGACTACAATCTTGATTTAGATACTACAGAAACATAGGTAGTACATATATTTTGTCTTCAAATTCTTCCTACTGCTTCTCCCATGCTGATTAGGAGAAAGTTCTTTCTATGATGAAATTTCCAAAATATGCATTAATTATATATGTTAATTCTGTTTTTAATAAGAAATTGCTCTCAAGAGAAGGTGAGCACCTCTGCTGAACAGCACAGTTTCAGCAATATGCTGAATATTCAGTTTCATATAAACCTTTTAAACTTGTAACACACACTTTTAGATTATAGACTTTTATGTAACATAATCTGATTTCAAGTCATCAACTCATTTCCTCAGGCTGATCAGACCTGGTTTTGTAATCAGGCCCTGACAGACTTTGGGCAAACAGAATAGAGATATAGGGTAACGTTTTTCAGCACTGTCCTATCTTGCAGACCACAGCACCCCAGGCAGGTATGTTCCAATTTCCCCAGTCAGTTCCTTATTGGGAAACAATCTGAGAAAACATTTGATCAAAGAACTTTATACCTTCACAACATGAACACATCTCAGTTCTAATACGGAAAGGCAGTATCAAAGCAAACTGATACTGCACCACAAGTAAAACTATACCAGGATTTTCATTATAAAATAGAGAGGAAGAAAAAATAATTGTAAAAACTGTTAATTTTCCACATTTTTCCTACAGCAGTATATGGGAAAAGTATTGATTTTAGTGATACTAAATAGGAAATTGTTTCAACTAAGATAGCTCTACAACTGACCATAAAGAAATAAAAGTGTTTATAGTGCTTGATAGTCCTTTTAAGCTCCCCCTCCTCTTCTTAACAGAACCATTAAGAGAAACTCTGAAATAGCAGAGACCACTGGGTATGTTTACTTGAATTGTGTGAATGATTTTTAAAGGTTTTGTATGTTTATTTTTTCACTATAAACATAATATAACAGTTTTAATAACAATACCCTGTATTAGACTATGTCAACCTCCTGCAGCTATCAAAATATGGGTCTGTTAGGATTAGACTTCCTCATCCTCAACAACCCCTTTGATCATGGTGATGTTGATAAAAGCTGCAACTACCTGCCCCTCCCCGCTTTCTTTTGGCTACATCAGGAAACACCAGCAGGTATGCAATAGGACTATGTTTCTCTAATACAGAGGCTCACTACAGCTTTTTACACTGTTTTTTTGTTAATTACAATCACAGTTTTCTTTGACAGTCCTTCTAAAACCAGAATCTGACGACAACGTGGATTTAAACCCACTTTGTTTTACTTCTCCAGCAAATCTTTAGGAAGCCAACAAATAATGAAGGCATATACACACTCCAAACTTTGCAAACTAGGGCAAGAATTTCTATATAAAGATGTTCTGTTTCACTGACTATGTTACCTGGGCCACAGAATAATTCTGGCGTTGAAAATGCTATTTTCTGCAACAGAGTTCCAGCTGTACTTGCACATTAATGGATACGTTTTCTGCAGCTTAAGTCACATTGCTAACCCAACTTTTCTACTGGATAAATACCTCTTCCTTAAACTTGCTATGGGTACTAGACACCACATGCAATTTACCACAAGTAATCACATAGCTGGAGTATTTATGTAGACTGCATAAATACTTCAGGACTTTGGCTAACTGTAACTATACCAGGTCAGGGAAGAGCCCCAGGCATCGTAATAGATATTTCACTGAGGGCACAGCAAGCAGCTTGGGAAAAACTCAGTGCAAGTCTGATACTCTTAAAATTCTCTTACAGTTGATAAACTTTCAAAGAGAGATATAACCACTATTTTAACGTGTGGTCTGCTAGGAAACAACACAACACAACCAACACCACCACCACCACCAATGAAAAAGCCAAGGAAAAACCCACAGGTCGTATAAAACAGTAACACTGTTTTTAGGTGTGTGGAAGCCACTTATTCAGACCCATTATAAGGGTCGTTAGGAGTTAAGCTTCTGGCTTAGGAGCTGATATTTCTAGTTCTGAATTTAGTATTACATTGTGGCTAGCTGCTTTGTGAACAGGGACTTTGGCAACTATAAAATGCCTCAGTTCTTAACATATTAGAGGCCATGTTTCAAGGAACAAATACCTTAGGAGGAAGTTCTAGTTGTTTGGAATCCTCTTCCACCAGGATGTCTGTTCCTATTCCCATGCTTTCTTCAGCTGCACTTCCTCCAGTGTGTATGTGTTTCCTTTTCTGCTGCTCAGATTTTATCAGGACCCTGTTCACTGTGCACATAGCTGCCTCACGACAAAGTGCCATCAGGTCAGCACCTACATAACCCGGAGTCAGCCGTGCTAAATGATGAAATTCAAAGCACTCTGGGAGCTTAAGTTTTCGACACAAAGTCCGAAGAATTCTAATCAAGTAGGGAGAAAAGAACAAAATAAAGATTAAGCTGTGGCTTTTTTTATTTACATACAAAACCAAACAGCATTGATTTAAGGTCTCTTTCAGTCCACATGAACCGAAGTAGTACAGTGGGAATAGTTTTCACTCAACTAGGAAGTAACCAACACTGAAACCCACAAAACTATGCTGTGTATTTCCTTTCAGTTCTTAATCAAAAATGAACAGCATCAACCAGGCAATGTTAATCAGTGGGTAAAAGCTAGTTTTGGTGAATCTAAATATTATAGATTCTTCAAAACTCAGTTTATGAATCAAAATCAACAGAGCAGACCCCAGAGTGTACCACAGAGATGTACACAGTTTATTCATTGAGATATTTAACCTTGTATTCCTAACAACCTTAGTATGCATTGTCTGTTCCATCCCACTTTTATTTATTTATTGAAGAATATCCACAACAAACTATTCTGCAAGGAGCAAATGAAATCAGACTGTGTGAAGAGCTTCTTAATCTTCAGTATCTTTCCCCTACCCTTGTCGGTAGAATATAACTGCAGATATTTCCAGCATCCCCAGTAAAATTTTCAATATGTAACACACAGCTTATGTGTACACCTCGTGCGTTACCTCACAGTCATGCAAAAGCTACAGTTACACCTACCTATGCAGTTCCATCATTAATACAAAACAGCTCTACATAACTGACGGTAAAGTTCTACGCTTCACGCTTGGTTTTTTTTATGGGAGTTTTTTCACTCTGTAACAAGGCTGAAGCTTTAAAAAAGTCTCCTTCAAGGTCCACCAAGACTTCCTGCTGTTGTTCTAAGCCAAGGACAACTGAAAACTACATGAACAGTCAAAAAAAGACAAAAGCCACTGTCACTGTGCAAATACTGGCGCTGAAGAACTCTGTGCAGAGGGATCAAATCAACTGCAAAACATCACTTCATTGGGAAAATATTTTTAAAAGGCAGCACAAACCGAAGAAGTGAAGATCATTAACACACTTTCTAGTTCCAGTGAAAACTAGTTTAAATTATTTCCAGATCAAGTAATGTAACTACAGAAAAGTCATGAAAAGAGTTATTAACTATTCAAAACTCTGAAATTATAAGAAGTTTCATGTGTTTGTCTCCCCCACTAACAAATTCCATCATCTCTCATTTAAATCTTTATTAGTCATATTAGCCTAATTCTCAAGAATTTTTCAACCTGTCTGACAACAGCTGTAGCTAATCAAGTGACTCAAAGTATAAAAAGTTAAGAACGGTAAATGGCTCATTCTGAATTTTTGTCCTATGTATATTATTTTCCTTCATATGCTTCATACACACAAAGAAAAACTGCAAGTAAGGCAAGACCTCCAGGTACACCTGCTCTTCCTACTCCACCCTCCTAAGGCTGTAGAACCACAACTAAGCAGTTCAAATAATGCCTTCAGCGAGACTGATTTATTATGTGGTAAATCAGCACGCTATAAGGACTTCTGTTTCTATATGACCCTTCTATTTTTAAAAAAGGAACAAAACCCCCCAACAAACACCACCCTAAAACCAAAACAAAACAGAAAAGCCAAGGGAAGGGATAATTTAGAAAAGGAAATAAAACCAACAGTTTCTTTAAGCTTACCCCTCCAAACACAAATACAAACAATTGTACAAAACAGTAATATGAATGAATGTGACTATAGTCTAACTTGTGAACAACCTCTACACACTGTGATGGCTTTCCCATTCACAACTCCTGTCCTTTGAAACAGTGCTGTTTCTGGGAACATCATATTTTTAACATGAATCTAAGAAATACCGTTGAATCAGAACTCTCATCAGTCAACAATTTAGTTCTATCTCTAACCACTTGTACATTTTCCCACAACCAAGGGGAACATAGTTACTAAAGGGCTGGAGATCTGGAGGAAGAAGGAGGGGGGGAAAAAAAAAAAAAAGTGGAGGTATGGCCAGAAGAGGGGTGGAGGGTAAGAGTGCAATAATGGGCCAGTACTGCTGACAACACAAAGTGAGCAGAATAGTTTGCTTTTTCAACCTAGAAACAAGATTAGTTGAGCTAGAAGGAATTTATCCTTTAACCTTTCTTTCCTTCCTGTAACAAGATAAGCCACAGCTGTTTTCACGCTTCTCTTCCTGTGCTCTCCGCTGTCGTGGAAATGACTAGCAGTTCCTTTTTAATCAAAAAAAGCAAAAAAAAAAAAAAAACCCTACAGAAACTTTTTTTTTTTTAAGCTAGTCTGACAGTCACAGATCTTTGGAGTAAAAAGGGACAGTTACACAAAACAGGATGACTGCAGCTCAGCTTAATGCCTAGACGGGTATATTTCCATGAGGAATGGAATGGAAAAATCTATGCCTTTTGCTTAAGGTACGTACTTAGGAGACTAACAAATGGGCTATACTTAATTTATGCTCCTAATTTAATAGTTACACAGGGAGCATCAAAGACAGAATGTTCACTTCCTGAACAACAGAAAAGATAAATTAAATTCCATCATCTATACTGTTAAGGCCCTTGAAACTCCATTAACATAATGCTAAAAGCAGATTTGCACACAAGAAAGGAAACCACCCCAAACAGACACACCTACCAACACAAACAGTAGATTTACACACACGCGGTTTTCAGTGTGTGCTGATCCATAGGTGGGTACAGGCACAAAGAGGACAAAACACAATAAAGTACTTTTCCTTAATTTGTATATTAACTTACACGTTATTTCCTCATCTACAAATTAATAAAAAAGAATCTTAAACTTTGTAACACATACTTTTCTCTTGCTGCTTCATCTGGGATCCCTAAACAAATTTCTCGATCAAATCTCCCAGCTCGCCTCAGTGCAGGGTCCAGTGAGTCAGGTCTGTTAGTTGCTCCAATAACAAGGACCTGAGTAGTGGCAGGCACGTTATTCAAGTCTAAAGGAAAGAAGGAAGTTAGTACTCATACTCACAGTCTCAACTTTCTTCTGTAACTATGGGACTGTTTCTGCAGCACCCAGTAATACTCAAAACAGGAGAGACAAACTAACCAACAGCCATACTAAACTGCTGTTCATCCTTACTTCTACTACCTAGAATTTGCATTTTGCACAATTAAGCAAAACCAAGCATTTCAAACTACATTTGATATGTTTTCCCCATTATGTCTGTTTATACAACAGACAGGCTAACATAAGACCACTGTGAAAATAAGATAGTTACATGCTCTCAAATTTATTAGAATCTTCCCACGACCCCCCAGCTAAAACGTGCCAAAATACAAAAAATCTCCACTAAAGTAACCACCAGTCACTACTGAAGGAAAGCAGACAGTGAGCCCGACAATTAGAAAGTTTAGCTTAGTACTAATGTTCCTGAAACTGACCATCCATACAAGTTAGGAACTGAGCCACAATTCTCCTCTCCATGTCCTTTGATGCAACTTCTCTTTTCGGGGTGATGGCATCAATCTCGTCTATGAAAAGGACACACGGTGCACTGGACTAGGAACAAGAAATATTAATAATTACAAAATTACACTGACAGAAAAAGAAGTTTTTCAGATTTTCTGTTCTATAATTATTACTCTTAAGTCTGCTGCCTGATTAACCTGTCCTAGAACAATTCTGTTGTTCTTACTGACTATCTGGAGAGCCAGCAGACTATGAAACTGTGCTGAGCTGAGGCTATGAAATAATTAAGGCATGAGATTCAAAATGCCTCTACACATTGTTGAAAATTTAAATGTACCTCTATGTTGCTTTACGTTTTCCATAAATATTCCATTGTGACTGCTTACTTGCTTAAGTCCAAAAAAGAAAATCAGACAAGAAAGGTCTGGTTGGGTTTTTGTTTGTTTTGCTAGTGACAGAGCTGTGGAATTTCAAGAGCTAGTATTACTGACACACGTAATGAAACAAAAGGAGCAGTAGGTGGTCATGAAAAATGACCTGCCAATTTCAAGATTACTACAAAGCCTGACCATGTTCGAAGAGCAAAAATGAGCAACTCCTACAAGTGTTGTAAAATTCCACGTACTTCATGTTCATAAAAAGGCAACTCTAATATAGAATAGTAATTAGTATAACAAATAGAAAAGAATAGTGTTCAACTGACATAAGATTATTAATATTCTCAAGAAGCACTAGCAGTGCAAAAGAATACTTAAGGAAAACACTGGAATCATCTTCAAAAAAAGTTCCATACGAAAAAAAAAAAAATTTTTAAGCCCCATGCATTGTGTTACCAGGTACCAACTGCGCCATCTAGTTGCCGTTCACTTTTCTGCTACCTGACAGAAGGAAATGCAACTCGGCTATAAAGATTTCACAGCACATTCATAATGTGAAACTGTGTCTTTTTTCCCTGCTCAAAAAACTGGTACAAAAACTACGTGGAAAAGCTACTCAAGTGAATTTGAGGGACTATTAGAAAGGCAACAGAATTTATTTTTAAACATATTTTATGCAATACATTCAATTCCTTAAAAATTAACTTTTATAGCAACCTCCCCATAATCACTACACATACAGAAGATATGTAATTTCTAAAAACTCTGGGCGATTAATTCTATTCTAAACATCTTAACGAGGCTTTCTAAAAATTAAAATGTGGTATGAACTGGAAACATAACCATCTAACAGCTTCACAATCAATCTTTTTGCCCTGTTTAGCACCTTTTTACAGGAACACACTCTAAACACCTATATATAATTGTGGGGGAGGAGTCGAAAAATGAAATAAAGTTGGAAAACCAGAAAATTTTCAAAGGTCAGGAACAGCAAACTGTCCTCATGAACTAAAACATCAGCCACATACTAAAAAAAGAAAAATCTGATAAATTAAAATTATCTCAACCCGTCTGGTTCTCTTTGCTTCTTACTAAGTCTGGAAGTCTCACCGACAGAAGACTTCAACTGTAACTTGACTCCTGCTTGTATGACATTCGTCCTAAATTTCTTACTTTATACCTAAACCCCCAAAGTCTTAAGTCTCTTTCATTCACTCACTTTCCAAGCCATACAAAACCAGCAAAAAACTCCCTTGTAACAAAAAAGCACAGTGAACTGCTCTTACATCTTTTTTATTTTTGATATATCAAGCCAAGCAGCTCCAAATTGGTAAATAATTTATGTTGCTCTCTTTACACTGATACGATGAATTATTTTTTGTCAAGACTTCAGAATAGTAATCTTTGTGCTCTATGACAGCATGACAGCACAATGGAATTCTGATCACAGAAGGGAGAGACACTATGACTTGTGTGCAGCAGTATAAAGATTCACCAACTAGTATTCACTCAAATTCAAACCACAGCAACAAAGTACGAATCTTTACAAAGAAAAAGACAAACAATTCACAGCGTTATTTCCAATGGGAATCTCACCACAGCCTGCTCAAACAATTCTCTCAGTTTCTGCTCAGATTCCCCTGACACTCCAGACACCATCTCTGTTGCTGCCACTTTCAGCATCGGGAGCTCAAGTTCCTGAAAGAGACAAGGAACATTATGGGATATAAACAGAGGTTAGAAATGTTGGCTGTCCTAGAGGACAAATATTTTCCAATATGACATCTTTTACACCCAAAGATTATGCAATCATGACTAAATCTTAATAAGCTTTTAAAAAGATGAGCAGCAGCCTCCCATTTAAAGCAGGTCTGAGCCATTTGGCCAACTGAACAGAAATGGATACAAAAAACAGGTTTCCCTAATTCGGTCAGAGAACGACTGCACTGTCAAATAGCTTTGCACCTTGGTCCCCAACCCAATCCATCACAACATATATATTTCAGTTGATGCTTGGGCTCCCTTCTTGAGAAAATTGACTATTTCCATCTGTAACAAAGCATTGCTTAGCAGTGTGGAAGAGATCCCCACCAGCTTTAGTTCCCTTAGTCTTGCTCCAGAAATATCTGAGAAGGACTGTACAATAAGATACTTGTAAAGCTCATGTTCAAGGTTTCCAGCTATTAAAAAATAAATAAAATAAAATTGCAACTTTGATAGACTGTGGCGCTATTTCAAGCTCTCTGAACAACATACTAAAAAAAAAATAAATCCTAATTTACACAAATCACAGCTACCAGAGGTACTACCTGGGGCTTGGAGGAGATAATTTGCCTTAAATAACACTACTGAAAAATCTCTCATTTAAGAAAAAAATATTTTAAAAGTAGTCATTAAATTTATCTCATCTCTGAAAATTTATCACTTGTCATGTTTCTTTTCCCAAATTTAGTACCCTTCCAGGATATAAATATGCACTGAAGTATTAAATATCACAGATTCATTCAATGGGTCCATTTTTACAGTAAGGCATTAAAAAGAAAAAAACCAAATCTCTTTAATTAAAACATTTGAAACATAATGTCAGAAGGGTCTAACAAACATTTAAGGAATAAGCATCAGTATTTTCTTTCAAAGACAAAACATGCACTACAAAAGTTCATAATTTACTTGTATCTAAATTTATGGTTATAAACTGACATTTAAGGAAATTCAAGTGACATTTAAAGAACAACTATATTAAAGGAAAAGAAATGTCCATGGTTATCACTGAATAACCCTAAAACGCCCCTAGATTTACGTCCAAAACAGGCACACAGCAGCCTCACCACACACCAAACTATTAACACCAACAATGTCATGCACTCTGAAATCATTAGTTTGACACAGGCAAGGCAACATTCAGTTTTGGAATTCAGAAATTACTGTTTAATGGATGCCACCCAATAGAATCAATGTAACGCCTCATAAAAGACTGTGAGGTTGAGTCCAGACTTAAAACAAAACACTATGGTAAATTTAACCAGAAGTATCTTCCATTTATAGCCTTCTCAATACCCATGCCTATATTGCTGTCCTGAGAATGCCTCAAAACCATTAAGACAAACATAAAAGCTATGACTATGTCCCCTCTTCATATATGAGGTTCTATCAAGAACAGATTAAGATGGAATTTAAACAAAGGAAGTGAAGATGAATATATTTTAGACAAAGAGGGG